TAGGTGACTGAAGCCTAAACAATGAGGTTTTTTTTTTTTTTTTTTTTTTTTCCAAACAATCATGTTAACTCGCCTTAGTAAATGGGGACATGACCTAGTTCTATGGTTGTCAACATTTTGGTCTCAGGACCCCTTAATACCCTTAAAGATTACCGAGACTCCAAAGAACTTTTCTTTTTTAATTTTTTTTAAAGATTTTATTTATTCATTCATAGAGACAGAGAGAGGGAGAGGCAGAGACACAGGCAGAGGAAGAAGCAGGCATCATACAGAGAGCCTGACGTGGGACTGGATCCAGGGTCTCCAGGATCACGCCCTGGTCTGCAGGCGGCGCTAAACCGCTGCGCCACTGGGTCTGCCCTCCAAAGAACTTTTAAGTAGGTTTTATCTATCAATATATTTCATGTTAAAAGTTTTTTTTTTTTTTTTTTAATAGAAAGAGCAGTGGGTGGGAGGAGAGGGAGAGAGAGAAACTTAGGTAGGCTCCATGCCCAGTGCAGAGCTTGACACAGGCCTCAATCTCATGACCTGAGCTGAAATCAAGAGTTGGATGCTGAGTCACCTAGACACCCTTAAAACTTTTTTAAATACAAAAATATTAGAGTGATGATATTATTACATATCATGTAATTCTGGAAAAATTCCATTGTATCTAATGAGAAAATGAGAGTGGAAAAACAAATACTGCCTTAGGTAGAGTATGAAAATATTTTTTACTTGAAGACCTTCTGAAAGGGTCTTGGGGTCTCCAGGTGTCCCCAGACAAATTTGAAAACTACTAATCTAAATTACTGCTTAGAGAGGATAATACTAACTTTGCCACCGAGTAAGGAGAACCAATATGAGAAGTAAGTCAACAAAGGAGAAAGCAAAGATGAAAGATTTTGATGACATGGTTTCAGATCCTAAATCCAGCCAACCCTGAAACTATACTACATGTCTAGAATTCATAGCTGCATGAGCCTTTTGGCTTAAGCTAGGATCAGTCACGTGTAACCAGAATGTTCTCATACATCTGGATTTCCAGCAAGGGACTTCAGAGGAAGAGAGTAAGGGTGAGAGAAATACAAAAGACCAGGGCAGCAGAAATCTGGGCAGCAGAAATATAATATCAAAAGCGCAAGGAAAAGTTCCAATTTATTTTTATAAACATGGCAGACATTGGAAAACATTGTCCTAATTATTTTCAAATAAGTGCCATCAAATTCCATGGACAACTGTGGTGGCTCAGCTTCACTTCACTAAAAGACAACAAAGGCATCAAAACTAATAGCAGAATGTCAATTTCATAAGTAGGCATGTATAAAATTTTCAGACTTTCAAAATTTTAATTTAGAAAACTGCTTTTGTGGGGGAAAAGCATTAGACCATTTAGTTCAAGTATTAAAAATTTCTCCAGTATTCTCTACTATAGAGCTGTGTCTTCTCTAAGCAAGTGTCTAATTTCTAAATCTCAGTTTATAAAGAAATCGTTTTATCTTTTTTTTTGACAGACTGAATTTATAATTTATATGTTTTCATGAATATACATAGTAGTATAATCTGTCATTGCTGGTACTGGCTTGAATAGTGTCCCTCCAAATTTCACATCCATCCAGAATCTTGGAATGTAACCTTTTTGGAAATAGGGACTTTGTAGATGTAATTAGTTAAACTGGGGTCATACTAGATTATAGTGGGCCCTAAATCGAATGACTGATATCCTTACAAGAAATACATACAGACAAGAAGGCCATGTGATGAAGGAGGCAAAGACTGGAGTGATGCAGCTACAAGCCACAGAATGCTGAGGATTGCTGGCAACCACTAGAAGCTAGAAAGAGGCAGGAAAGAATTCTTCCCTGGATCCATCAGAGGGAGTATGGCTTTGCTGACAGCTTAATTTTAGATTTATGGGCTCCAGAATTTTGAGAATAAATTTCTGTTGTTTTCAGGCACCCAAATTGTGATACTTAGTTATGGTAGCCCTAGGGACTAATACATTGTCCAACTCAGCCAGTCTAAAATTCATCTTGACTATAAGCTTCCTTTGGGGAAAATAATAGGTTAAAATCAACCAGAGTTTCACCTTGCACCCATTTTTCTTGTTGTGTTAAATATACATTCAATGGCATTAAATATTTTCAAAATGTTGCCCTCATTTTTAATTGACTCAGTTTTAATTGTGGCTGTTAACCTATCAGGAAAGAGGCAAGAATGGAATAAGCCTTAGGGGAGGATAATTTATTGCCAAATTTGTTCTTGTTCACATCTAATGTCAATGAGGAGAGTGTGACCCCAGAAACTCTTTTTCACTTTTGGTTTTGACACTTCCTTCAGTATATTCCTGAGACATCTGTCAATATTCAGGAATGCTACTCTCTTCTTACCTTGGTTTGAAAATTTTTCTTTGTTATAACACTTGATTCCAGGATGAATTTTGAAGAAGTGTCATACTATAAAACAGGAGTAAAAAAGCACGTGCATACTGCAATATTCAGTCAATAATCAGCAGTAAAAGTCACATTAGACAGTAAGATCACTGTTTTTCCCGTGCAAACTTTGTTACAGCTTGCTAAATTTGGCAGAGATGAATACACTTGGGGAAAATTAGTTGGAAAATAAGCACATATTAATAGTTGTTCAGCTTATTTCTATTAATACTACCCTTTTCAGCAGTTTTAGTAGTTTTAGCAAACAAACCTCCATATATTTTAGGGTTAATTCTCACCTTTCCCAATTAAATTTCACCATTATAGATATAGAAAGTCCTTTGTTTTATTTTTAATTTTTTTTACCTTTTTAAAAATTTAAATTCAATTTAATTAACATATTGTGTATTATTAGTTTCAGAGGTGATTTAGTGATTCATCAGTTGCATGGAACACCCCATGCTCATTACACCCCCCTAATGCCCCATCACCCAGTTACCCTCACTGACCTTCCCTCTAGCAACCCTCAGTTTGTTTCCTCTAATTAAGAGTCTCCTGGTTTGTCTAAGTCCCTTGTTTTCTCTTATTTATTGTGAAAACAAAAATACTAATTTCTTTCCATGAAAAATTATAGAATACTCTTAAGTTGAGAGGGTGCTTATTTAGTCTACAATGTTACAAAATCCCAAACTTAGTTCAAGGTTATAGAATCTATTAGTAGTCAGGTTTAGAATTTCATTCCCTAAAAACTCAAGACCTTTAAAAATCATTTCAAATTTGAGGGTGCAATCATCCTTTATGATCTGGCTTCAATTTTTTTTTAAGATTTTTTTTTAAGATTTTATTTATTTATTCATGAGAGACACACACACAGAGAGAGGCAGAGACACAGGCAGAGGGAGAAGCGGGCTCCATGCAGGGAGTCTGATGTGGGACTCGATTCCCGGGTCTTCAGGATCACACCCTGAGCCGAAGGCGGCGCTAAGCCGCTGAGCCACCCAGGGATCCCCTGGCTTCAATTTTTAACCTGTCAAAAATGCTAGCAATACACATACTCTATTTTACTATTTTTCTAATGCCACCTCAATTTCATCCAACATCTCCTTTGTACTCCCATTATTTAAAATGAAATACATAACAATACGAATTTTAAGTTAGAGGATAAGTCATGTTCCAAGGGCACAATAACAATCATAACCATCAAACTGAGATTTTAATTGTGTACATACGTTGATTATGCATTTTTAACACTTTGCTTTTTCATTCTTACGCTACCTCGATTTTTACCAGGGCTGAAAACAGAAGGAGAAAAAAAAAAATATGTGTGAATTTTTCAAATTCAGAAGTTGAAAAGGGCTAGAAAGGGACTAAGGAACCGATGTGAAAATAGCCACAGGTGATTAATAACACATTTTTGAAAGAGACATGAAAAGTGGCGACAAAAGCTATTTTCATGGTAATCTCACATCCCACAAATACTGAAATGAAATCTGTCACGGATTGCGATCGTGGTTCAGGGGCGAGGAACATGTTCTTCTTTCCGATTCACTAAGATTTTCATCGAAAGGCAGAGGCCGTGGTGATGCAGCATAAGGCCAGGAAACCAGGGGGCAGCGGGAGGGAGAAAAGCCAGGTATCCCCATTGAAGATGCTCCGCTCCGCTCGAGAGGCTCGTCCAGTGGGGAGCGACTCGGAGACGGGATCCTGACGCCCCGGAGAAGCGGACGTCACCGGCCGGGCCGGGCGAGCCGACTGAGGAAGCAAGCGGGAAGGTGAGGCGGGACAGGAGAACCCCTCCTTCCCCCACGGGGTCTCCCGGTCTCGGCGGCCACTGTTCGGCCACCCTGCAGCTTTCCAGGCCACTTCCAGATGCCCTGGCGCTTTCAGGGGTCGGCTGGCCGCGCCCGAGGGCTTCGAGGAGAGGCCCCGCGCGCCGAGTCCTCCGCTCGTCCCCTTGGGAGAGCCGCCCCGCCGCTCACACTAACGACGAGGCGGACGAGGCGCTGGCTCGGCAGGGGATTGCTTCTGTCTGGGCCGCAGCCGAGGCTGCGTTCGTGTCTCGCGCGCACCCGCGCCGCGTTCTCCAGCCAATCGGGCGCTACTCGCGCGCCCAGGAGCGCTCCCCGGGCCTTTCCAGGCTGGGCCGCCTCCTTCCCGCTCCCGGTCCTCCGCAGCCGGGCTCTCACGCCTCCCCTCACTCTCCACGAGTTCCACGCCTCGCGGTGTAGCTCCGCCCCTGCCCCCGAGCCCGCCCCCGCAGCCGGCCGAGCGTGTGCACTCCTTTCCCTTCACTCCCCTGCTAGCCAGCCGGCCGGGTTTCCACCGCCTCACTCGGCCGCCTCCGCGCGCTCCGGCCCCGCGGCCGCCGTGACCCCCACCCGCCGCGAGCCGCCTCCGACCCGGACTCGGGGTCGCGCGCCCTGACTCCGCCCCCTCCCCCCGCCCCCCACGCCGGGGACTCGCGCACTCCCGGCCCGGCCTCTACCCCGCGCAGGCCGCGGAGAGCCTGGCCGCCTCCCGTCCTTCTCCGCTCGCCGCGAGCTCCTCGGGCGCTCTCGCTCTCGCGCTCTCCGAGGCGAGCGCGCTCCCGGCCCGCGCGCTCCGGGCTCCGGCTTCTCCCGGCTCCTGTCAGTGCGGTGACTGCGCTGGGAAACATGGCGACCGAGGGAATGATCCTCACTAACCACGACCATCAGATCCGTGTCGGAGTCCTCACAGGTAACCGGGGAAGGAGGTCCTGGACCGCCGCGGCCGCTGTCCCCGACTAGTCTCGGGCTTCTCGCCTGTGGTGACTTCTTCTCTGCGGCCTCGGGAGGAGGGAAGGCTGAGGAGGGGGCCGGGGGGGGCGGGCGTTTTACAACCGCTGAGAGCTGACGGAGGTTGGGGTGTTCCTGCGGGCCCCCCTCCCCCGGGAGCTGGAGCCGGCCCGCGGGGCGTCAGGCCCCGGTGCCTTCGCAGCCGAAGTCCCTGGCCCCGGGGGACTGAGGGGCCGGTGCGGTGCGGCGGGCGCTGCGGGGCTCCTTGCTGCCGGTGCGGGCGGCGGGATCCCGGCCCCGCAGCCAGAAGCACGCCGCTCTGACTGACGGGCCGGCGCGCTGCCTCCGCCACTGCTCAGCGCAGAGAGGGGGGATTCCCATGTCCACCCCCTCCTTCCCCTCCCCCTCCTCCGGCGGCCCCGCACCGCCCTGGCCGTGCCTGCCCGAGGCACCGGCCGAACACGACACGGGTGACAGTCGGGCGAAACTCTGCTCTGCCTTAGGCTGCCCCTGGCCCGCGGGGCACCCCCTCGGCCACCCATGGGACACTCCTGGTCTCTCCAGAGGTAGGACACCGCTTGTTCTCAGACCTCGGAAAGTGTCCGCATTCCGCCTCCCCGACCAGAGGGCCCGCTGCCCACCCCTTCGTTTTCTTAGAGGGACGGGCTGCACCCTGCGGCTGGAGCTTTTTACTTGAGAGAGTAGGATTCCCCGACTTGGGCTCCTGTGTCCCCCTCCCTTCTAGTAACCCCCCCCCCCCCACTCGCCGCCCCCTCTCCGGATGGTCCCGAGGCTTGTGAGGAGCGCACTTTTCCTGGGTCTCGTTTCCCTCCCTCGCAGGAGCCGTGTGTGTGCTCTGCATGTCTGATTCCGTTGCGTTGTATTTGGGTAATATCTCTCCGTTCGGCGATAGGCAGTTGCTGCAGGGCATGACTTCCGAGATGAAGAGCAAGCCAGTTTGTAGGGGTTTCAGCCGTGGCTCTGTAATTGGCAAGGTTTATGTGTAATCCAGTGGCGAGGTGGGGGTTAAAGAACTATATTTGGAATCTGAGGGCTTAGTTGGGAATGAAGGAAATCCGAGACACACCGCTGAGATTTCGGAAAAAGAAGAGATGTAGACGGGAATCCTTGTGTCTCCCCCGTCCCCCGCCCCTCACTCTTTTATTTATTTATTCATTTATTTATTTTTCATCTTGTCAAATTCTGACAGGTTGAGACGGTGCTCGGGAAGGGACTAAATTGGATGAGACTTGCTTTTATTAGGTAGAGAAAAAAATCAGTCGGTAGATACTGAGCTCTAAAGCTTAATTTGGCTGCTGAGGAGATACCGTTGGCACCCCTTCCTGTCTTAAATAAAAGGATTGCCTTGCCCTGGTATTCCTTCCAGTTATTAATGGTGATTTATTGAATTTTCCTAATCGAAAGCCCCTGGGATGGAGAAGCTAGTCTAAACCAGTTGCAGGGAAGGGAACCCCCCAAAAATCAAATGATGCGCTGTTCTCTTCTTTTGGTGCTGACACTGTTGCCTTGTGTGAAGATTTCAGTTGTATCAGAATTCTTAGAGTTGACATTGCTGATTTTCAAAGAATCTAATCGCGGAGTGTAAAAATGTATAGCCTATTTCAGCCTTCAACTTGCACTTCGAATTCCAGACGGTTTTGAAGGTTATTAGAGTAGTAATAATGAAGCTTTATAGAAACCACAAAGTATTTCAGCTGTCCATGGAAATGAAAGGTCAAAACTGTTTTAATGTTAAACCACAGCAATTGAAACAACAACAACACCGTATACCTTTTTGTTCATTTGAACTATTTCCCTAATAGTTTTGTTTAGTGAGTCATCTTACCTGGGTCAAGTAACACACTTACAGAGTGCTTTGAAAGCTATAGCCCTTATCTCTATCCCTACAGACCAATAGGGATAATATTGGTTTGCAAATAACTAAAGAAACAATGTATGTAATTATTGTGCTACAGTTGTTTAAAGAAATTACCTGTTTGAGGCCTAAATGTAAAAAGAATTGCATTCCAGGATGGATTAGGAGCAAATATAACTAACTACTTGAAGAGAGAATTTGGTTCATTTACCAAAGGTGCGAAGAAACTGGCATTTTTAAAGAGAAGTTGAAAGTCAATGGCCCCCTTATAAATGAATAATGTTTGTGAGGATGAGGCTCTTGAGCAGAATAAAAGTGCAACTCAAAGACCTTGAAAAGCTTAGATGGAATAGGTGGGTGGCACAGGCAAAATGTCAAGGAGAGAAGATAACTTTGGCAGTGGAGTTAAAGGTAATCTGGAGAAGCTGTCTCATGAGAATGAGGTACGGTACTTTAGAGGGAAAAGTCTAGGGTCAAGAATAAGGATGTAGCTGAAGGAACAAAAAGGAAGTTATGGATTTGGGATAGGTGGTAATGGAAGACAATAGGATGTGCTGATAATATGGATATTTGAAGTCAGAAATAGCAGATGTTTTTACTAGAAAAGTTATTGTTTTTTTTCTGATGGAGCCTGGAAACAGAAGAATCAGAGGAAAGAGCACCAGCCCTTTGTCTGCAATTAGAGGATTTCTTTACAGACAGCTTAATGTTTGTGGTCTTGATATTCCATGTGGTTTTGTGCAAAAGAAACATCCACCCAAAACCAAAAAACTAAAAGCCTACAAAAATGAAGCTATATTGTGTATTTGTGTCTTGTAGAACTTCATGTTTTTCAGTTTCACTATGTAAAGGTTTTCTCTATTGAACTGATTTCATACTTAAGAAAATTGAATTAAGGGGCAGCCCCGGTGGCTCAGCGGTTTGCGCCGCCTTCAGCCCAGGGCATGATCCTGGAGACCCAGGATCCAATCCCACATCTGGCTCCCTGCATGGGGCCTGCTTCTCCCTCTGCCTGTGTCTCTGCCTCTCTCTCTCTCTCTCTCTGTGTCTCTCATGAATGAATAAATAAAATATTAAGAAAAAAAAGAAAATTGAATTAAGAGGCCACACTTAAAACTGATTTTAGGAGTTATAATTTGTGACTCTCTTAAAGGCAGAGGGCTTATTTTATAAACTATCTTCTGCATGCTTTATAATAAATATTGATTTTAAATATTTTATCTATTTTACAAAGGTGTTTGAAAGTATTGTCTACCCATGCACACATTTTACAATGTGTTTGTATTTTGGTGACGTTGTATGGTCATTTCTCCAAGTTTTTAATTGACTTTCTTTGTGACATTTTTTATTATCTGTTGAAAGATAATATTTATGCTTTGAAATTTTCCATCCTTTAGATTTTTTTAGTCTTTATCTCAGCTGTGAATTCTGCAAATAAACGTATGCAGTCTATTGAAACTTCTCATCAAATAATATAATTTTGAAACAGTGGTAGGACAGTATTTAGCAACGGCATTTCTTTTTTGCTTGATGATCTTGAATCATTTTAGATTTGGAAATTAGATAATAATGATTAGTGTAACGTGGTTATTTTAGTTATACAAAATATTTTTGATCAGGAAAATGGGAGCATTTATGTATATAAAAAATTGGTTATTGTGGAAACATTTTAGATTGCCAATTATTGCCCATCTGTAAGAATAATACCTTTATTAGTAACTATCTTATGTTGATTCGTTAGAAACGAAGGTTTATGATCTTTGGTGACATAAGATCCAGTTTTTAATGTATGTGTTTCTAATGCTTTCTACTTCTACTGCTATTTATAACAGGCACTAAAGGTAATGTGATGATGCACACATAATAAAAGGCAAGTAAACAGGTATTTGCTGCTTTGAAGCCAGAAACAAGATGAGGGGAGATGTAGGATTCCCCCTCCCCCCCCCATAACATTAATAGTAATTATACTTACAGCCATTCTTAACGATTACATAGCAGAATGATTATATTTTAATGTGTCACTTTTCACCTACATTCTACTTTTTCTAAAGAAAACGGTTTAACAAGGCAACACACTATTTCTACAACTGTAAGAGCTCCACAGAAACATTCGAAAAATAATGAATATATTTATATAGTATAGAATGAGATAGGTGATGTTCCATATTTAATGTTGTATTAGCTAGCCTTTGCTAATATTGTTCAGTACCAAAGCATTTAGCACTTAGCTAACGGTGAAAATCCGTTACCTAAATTTTCACTAAAAGTAGTATAGATGAGAAAAAGACACATTTTTAGGAAAGAGAATTTTATTTTACTTATTTTATTTTTTAAGATTTTATTTATTTATTCATGACAGACACACACACACACACACACAGAGAGAGAGAGAGAGAGAGAGAGAGAGAGAGGCAGAGGCATAGGCAGAGGAGCTCCATGCAGGGATCCCGACATGGGACTCGATCCCGGGTCTCCAGGATCACACCCCACTGGGGCTGCCCAGGAAAGAGAATTTTAAAATCACTTTTTTGTTCTAGTAGTATACGTTTTTATTGCACTAAGCTGTAGATCTGTAATCAGTGAAAGATATTAGAACAAATATAAAACTAGATAAGAGAGATCAAAGACTAATTGTAAAATAGAACACTAAAAATATTAGGCACATATAGGGAGTATTTTAAGCATTCATAAATAAAGTCATTCAAAATATTAAAAAACAAATTCTAAGCCAAGGAGATTATAATCAAATGCTTGAACTGTTCTAGACTTAACTTTGTTTGATTCCTCAAGTTTATCCTCTTACATTATAAGTTTTCATATTATTTTCTCAAAAGCCTATTGATAAATATATATATTTATATATCTTTGTTTTGAGAATAGATGTTGTCATTAAGTAGGCAAATTAGTATTGCAAACCAAACCTGAATCTTACCAAATGGAATTGTGTGTACCAATACTGATCTGTATGATTATTGTTAGAAAGAATCCTGTTTCTTAAACTAGGTCATCCTTCATGATTTTTTGGTTGGAAACAATGTATTAGAGAATTAAGTGTTTAGCTAAAGTAGGAAATCATTAAGTCAATT